GTGCAGCAGGACGGAGAGATTATGATCCCGTGACACGACGTAACTTTTCTGCAGCGGGAGGGGGAATTTTGAGGATTTATCCTCTCTATACGTGTTTTAAAACGCTAKAATTTCTTCATTATATTTCAAACTCCTGCTCAGCTGTCTCTGCACTCACAGTCCTGTTCACACAGATGTGATGACGTAATGACGATATGACGGTAGAGGGTAAATATCTACCGTAGGCCAACTTCATACCGTTTCTACCGTCTACTGCATATACCACGCAGCCCTACTTAAAGGGTTTTTCCAAGTCTTTAGTGGCGCCTTGTTCTTGTTTGAACTCAAATGAATTAGAAAACATCTGAAACATCCTGTCCAGCAGCATTTTAATGCATCATCATTGTAGCGTCCCTTCAGATGAGAGGGTTTGTGTCTTTGTGTGAAGAATACAAACAACAGAACATCGTGTGAGGAACTCACTCTGCCATCAGCCAGATGCTGTGGAAGTTGCCGTCTACCTCCTTTTTCACCAGAGCTTCGACGTCTTTGATGGCCTGATTGAGAGTACCGGGCTGAGGAGACAGAGGAACACACGGGTGTCACTTTTTAATCCTCCACAGTGACTGTCACGACGTGTGCACAGAGAGCTAACAGGGTCAGCTGCCAGGCAGACGTGCAGCAGGGACTGGGAACACGTCAGCCGATTTGTGTGTCAAAGAAAACAAAATCACAGCAAACAAACAAAAAAAAACCCTCAAAAACATGACATCTAGTTGAAAAAATAAATAAAACAAAGCTCAACATGTCCAAATCTGAYAGGTAAGACATGTGAACACATCAGAGAGAGTGTCGGTACGTAACTCAGTGCTCTACACTCTGAAACTGTCAGGAACAATATTCTAGCCCTGCTCTTTGTTTCATCATTTCAGTGCCAAACCTCAACAGATTAGGAGTTCACGCTGAGGTCGTCCTGTAATCTGGAGCTGGTGCTGAGCAGGCCGAGCAGCATGAAGAGGCATTCCTGCAGCAACACAACAGGTCTACAACCAACAACTGCTTTAAAAACAGGAACTCCTGTGAGGYGACTTAAAGAAGCRGACACATTCAAAGAGAGCTCAGAAGTGTGTTTGCATTAAGGGCAGAGTAAATGTCAACACAGCTTAGAGAGCTGGCCTCAGTGCAGGGCGGAGCCTGTCATCACTTTTCATTTGAGACACGGTCACCTTGAATCTGTTCACAACCACAAACATTATTTATACAAAAATCACAGCCTTTTCATTTCTTTTTAAATGTTCCTTCTGGTAAATACTACTTTATTTCAGATTATTAATGAAATGTCACTAAGTGATGTTTGTTCTATTTGGATGTTCCTGGGCTCATTGAGATAACCTCAGGTTTAAAAAACAAACTGATGAACTAGTTTCTTGTTTTAATAAAAGTTCATATGAACTGTATAAAACATGTTATTGTTCATCTTCAAATAGGTTTTCTGGCCATTTTGTAACRTTTTGTGGTGTTTATGTAGAATTAATAAATTACTTGTTATAAACAAAACAAAAAAACAGTTTAATTCTGAGCTAACAGCTGCTCCATYGGTCCAGATTAAAGCAGGTTGATGTAGCACCTCTGTTGCAGCCTGGGCTCATTTTTGACAGGAATTAGGGCTGGGTGATAAAACAGTAACTGTTTATATTGTGATCGACACATGATCAAAATTAATAGAAAATATGTCCAATAAAATGTTGATAATTTCACTGAACTCTGGTGGATGTAAGTAGGTCTGTCATGGTAATTAATTTTTCTGGATGATAAATTATTGCAATAAACGACATTGTTTGGAAACTATTGTAAACTATTATAATGAAACCCTACCCACCCCACTGATGAAGCTTACAGAAGTKTATGAAATTTACATTAGGGCTGCAACAACGAATCGATAAAATTGATAAAAATCGATTATTAAAAGTGTTGGCAACGAATTTCATTATCGATTCGTTGCGTTGCTCGATTTATGCGTCCCTCGCCGTGTCGCGGAGCCCTTTACGTCACCCGGTGAGCGTTGTCAACGCTGGCTGACCTAAATAAAGTTTAGGAAGAAAAAAACTA